TGCATCCTGATTATCTCAGACCTATCAAAAATGATTGCTTCATGTTAAGCACATTTATAGTAACAATGCAATAACACCTTTAGTGACTGACTACTGATACTTTTCATACTTTTTTTTTTATCTATGGACCAGTCTTGTGTCTGAAGTAAAGTTATATATATTTAAAGAGCGCAGGATGTAAAACCTCATTTGCCCCATTTTACCTGACATCCCACATTACCTCATTTCACCCTAACAGTAAACCATGATACATTATATTAATGCAGAATCCAAAAACTTAGATTTTTCCCTGAGCATCCATGATTGGCTTGCATCCTTACTTCAGTTATACTACAGAGCTTTGCAGGTCTGAGAACAAGCTGATTTATTCACAGCATATATTATCAATCTATTTACGGCTACTTATAATTGCATTATCAGCGCATCCTTGTACTGTGGAATAAACAAGATGCGCTCATCTCTTGCTGTCACTAGGCAGCAATGTTACCTTCATATACAGTGCGAAAATCTCGTAATTCGGGATAAGAAAACACAAATGGACACTTTTGGGATTATCAAGCGCTGTAGAATTTATTAAACGGAAACAGAGTTATGACGGAAAGTGTTTTGTTTTCGGTTAAGATAATTACAGATTAATAAATTATTAAATCAATGCGAAGAGGGCGATATAAACGAATGAACACTCTTATATCCGAGCAGATGAGTAGTCTCTGAACGCAAAATCTTTTGCCCAGTTACACATTCGGCAAATGCATGACCTCACCCGTCACGTGGTTCAAACCTCGCCACGCCATTGGCTGCTTCACACCGGGGCAGTTGTTTTTGTTGTGAATCAGGAAGCTCTCGTCTTTCAAAATTGGGTGTGTAGTACAACGTCAACAGAGAAGGAAATTGACATTTAACTCATTGAATCCGTTAAAACGCGACTTCAACTTACAGCCATATAAAATTCAACTAATTCCCGCCTCGGTAAAGAAGAAAAGATATTCGTAAGTATCTACTGGCGGTTACTTTCTTTGTTTCATTTACCTGCAGGTCAGAGTGAGTGAACTTGTTGAGACAAGTGTTGGAAAGTATGTCAGTTTAGCGTAGGTGGGTGATAAGATGACAGGTCGAGATAAATCACTTTCACATTCACTGTGTAAATTTTGCTGTGTCACTCACCATTTTAGTTTGCAGTACATGTTGTTCAGGTGAAATGAACCGTTAAATGTTACATTAATTAGCTTGGTAAGCTACAAACTTTGACTGTGTTACTGTAAAACAAAATATTAAGGAGCCTGTGACATGTCACTTCTTTGTTGTTGAGTTGTACTCTGTTATGGTCTCTGTGAACAGCTGATAAGCTCTGCCATTTCCACTTTCACAAACTGTTCCTCTTTTTATTTTTATATTTGCAACACAAAGTTACAAGTGCACTAAATGGCACTTACATTTATCTGAGGGCTGCTTTTCATGTAGGTATGCATGTTTATTGCAACATATTAAAGAAACACATGACTACAATACAACAGTTTGGAACCACAAAATAACGTGCAATACACAGACATACACATCTACATACACTCACACACTCTACTTGCACAGATATCAGGTAACGTTACAATACCAATAAACCAAATTACTTCCTTACATTTTTCCTATCAGGTAATGCCCACACTGCACTGTCTACACACCACACTGCGAGAAAAGAAAGCACAGAGCTTCATTAGAGACACACATCACCCAGCTCACACCCTTCCTCAGGCACACACATTCAGCATACAGCCTGACACAGCACAATCACACATACGTCACAATTCGATAACAGTTTTTTCCCTGCCACAGTGAGACTGATGGCAAAAGCAAAAGCAAATACGGACTAACAAACTACTGACTCATCTACCTCTGTTCTTGTGCAATATAAACTGGGAATATGCAATACCTATGATGTGAAAAACCTGAATGCTCTGCAGGTGGAGCTTATATTCTTGAATTTATTATACTTTTTATACCTTTTTTTGTGCACTTCATCTTTGACTATTTATTACCTGTCTATTTCTCACTACTACATACTACTAGTGTTTTTTTTGCACAAAATTTATATGTACCCAGACTTTGTCCAGGTGTACAAATAGCAAATTAAGCTATCGTATTGTATCTTAGAACATGGCACTCTTAAATACTTGATCCTGATTGATCAGTCAACCAAATTCTGCGGTGTTTACTTCTTGAGGTATCACCGCTGTTCTGCTGCTCTGTTGCTAGGGACACCATAGCAATGACCTTAGACTGAGGAGCATCGAAATCAGTTAACGTTAGTCCACACGGGCCAAAGAGTGGCAAAATGCAGCATTTTCAGGACATCACTTTTAACATTTTTGGAGAGGACAAAACGCTTGATGTTTGGCTCAAAAATGACATGTCCCAGTAAAAGAAAAACAAAAAAAAAAGGAAAGGAAGATAAAATCGCATGGATACAGAGTAAAGACACATTTCTTTTTGCGAATTTGGAATCAATAAAATGTGCTTCAATCATTATTTTGTGTCACATCACTGAATGTTTTAGTAGTAAGCCATGTTCTGAGCGGGATAATGTATAGTGAGCCGGTGACAGTTGAAAAATAACCCCTGACATGGGAATGGAACCACGACGCGCAGCGGAGGCAACCTGGGATATCTGCGCAGAGCGAGGAAGCACCAGCTCACTATACATTATCCCTTACGTATAGTATCGTATCATGTCGTATCATATTGTATCTTACATTTCCTCCTTTCATAATGTCCATAAATGCTTCCCAGAGCGGATAAAAGTCTTTCTGCTCACACTTAGAAATATAAGTTAGTCTTTCCAGACTTCCGCTAGCTCCTTTATCCTTGTTCTAAATGATGGGGCGTCCATACTATTCCAACATAATGCAGTAGCTCTCCAGAGTCCAGACATTTCTCTGTTTCGATGTTTGAATGAAGTCCTCTGGATATATTACAAGCACACACAATTTGGCATTTAAAGGGACTTTGGTGTGAAACATCTCTGACAAACATTTTATAGCATCTTTCCAGAAGTTTGAATTTTTGGACAGTCCCATAGACAGTGAAATCAAGCACTTAGTACAGTCATGAGGGATATTAGCACACATATGCTGAAGTTTGACAGGAGTTAATGTACATTTGCATTATGTTGAAGTAATTGTAAACCTTGTATTTATCATCTGTTTTTGTGTTTGTCTGTTTTAAGCAAGCCACATTCCAATCTGTCGCATCATTATCTTCTTTTATGTCACTTTTCCATGTTTAAATTTTGATGGCATGTAGCTTCTTTAATTGTAGGTCTGAAGGATTCATTAATTAGGCATGAAAATAATCTGCGGATCAGTTCAGTGGTGTTCATTATGTCTTTAGTTTCTGATAATGACTTTAGTTGTTCTTTTATCTCAGACATGTTAGGATGTTACATACCTCGACATGTTTTGGCGTAAACTTCGGCCTTCCTCAGAAGTGACTGTCCTGTCAAAAACTGATGGGCCGATCAGTTGATAATGAAAACAAAAAGCGAGTATACACCTTTATCAAAACTGGAGGAAATGACAAATGCAAATTTGAAAGGGAAGGGCCTTGTACCTAAATGTTACAACACATTAGTGGCATTTAGCACAGAATCAGCTTTAGAAAAATACCAATATTCAATGCTGTTTTTAATACCGGGGGAAAAACTGACAGTGAGGGCATAAGATGTAAAACTTTTATCAAAAGATAAATATAACAAGGCTATAACTTGACAACAATGACTTTTCTTTTCTTGGTTAGTGGCAGAGAACAACAGAATAACTGTAGTAAACATTGAAAATTATTAAAACTGTTTTACATAAATAAAAACAATATTCTTGCAGTGGGGAATATGTTGAATAGCATCTGAGATTGTCGTGCATTCAACATTCAATAAAGTGCAAGTAAAAAACACAACTGTGCCGCAAAGCCTGAATGCAACTGGAGAGAAGAGAGAGCGAGAAAGTAGTATTGATAGTATCAATATCAGTAGTTGTAACAGTTACTCATAGCTGGGATGTTTTGGCATCCACATTCTTTTGGCTGTGTACTGTAGCAAACTAACATATACAATACAGGCCAAAAGTTTGGACACACCTTCTCATTCAATGCGTTTTCTTTATTTTCATGACTATTTACATTGTAGATTCTCACTGGAGGCATCAAAACTATGAATGAACACATGTGGAGTTATGTACTTAACAAAAAAAGGTGAAATAACTGAAAACATGTTTTATATTCTAGTTTCTTCAAAATAGCCACCCTTTGCTCTGATTACTGCTTTGCACACTCTTGGCATTCTCTCCATGAGCTTCAAGAGGTAGTCACCTGAAATGGTTTTCCAACAGTCTTGAAGGAGTTCCCAGAGGTGTTTAGCACTTGTTGGCCCCTTTGCCTTCACTCTGCGGTCCAGCTCACCCCAAACCATCTCGATTGGGTTCAGGTCCGGTGACTGTGGAGGCCAGGTCATCTGCCGCAGCACTCCATCACTCTCCTTCTTGGTCAAATAGCCCTTACACAGCCTGGAGGTGTGTTTGGGGTCATTGTCCTGTTGAAAAATAAATGATCGTCCAACTAAACGCAAACCGGATGGGATGGCATGTCGCTGCAGGATGCTGTGGTAGCCATGCTGGTTCAGTGTGCCTTCAATTTTGAATAAATCCCCAACAGTGTCACCAGCAAAACACCCCCACACCATCACACCTCCTCCTCCATGCTTCACAGTGGGAACCAGGCATGTGGAATCCATCCGTTCACCTTTTCTGCGTCTCACAAAGACACGGCGGTTGGAACCAAAGATCTCAAATTTGGACTCATCAGACCAAAGCACAGATTTCCACTGGTCTAATGTCCATTCCTTGTGTTTCTTGGCCCAAACAAATCTCTTCTGCTTGTTGCCTCTCCTTAGCAGTGGTTTCCTAGCAGCTATTTGACCATGAAGGCCTGATTGGCGCAGTCTCCTCTTAACAGTTGTTCTAGAGATGGGTCTGCTGCTAGAACTCTGTGTGGCATTCATCTGGTCTCTGATCTGAGCTGCTGTTAACTTGCGATTTCTGAGGCTGGTGACTCGGATGAACTTATCCTCAGAAGCAGAGGTGACTCTTGGTCTTCCTTTCCTGGGTCGGTCCTCATGTGTGCCAGTTTCGTTGTAGCGCTTGATGGTTTTTGCGACTCCACTTGGGGACACATTTAAAGTTTTTGCAATTTTCCGGACTGACTGACCTTCATTTCTTAAAGTAATGATGGCCACTCGTTTTTCTTTAGTTAGCTGATTGGTTCTTGCCATAATATGAATTTTAACAGTTGTCCAATAGGGCTGTCGGCTGTGTATTAACCTGACTTCTGCACAACACAACTGATGGTCCCAACCCCATTGATAAAGCAAGAAATTCCACTAATTAACCCTGATAAGGCACACCTGTGAAGTGGAAACCATTTCAGGTGACTACCTCTTGAAGCTCATGGAGAGAATGCCAAGAGTGTGCAAAGCAGTAATCAGAGCAAAGGGTGGCTATTTTGAAGAAACTAGAATATAAAACATGTTTTCAGTTATTTCACCTTTTATTGTTAAGTACATAACTCCACATGTGTTCATTCATAGTTTTGATGCCTTCAGTGAGAATCTACAATGTAAATAGTCATGAAAATAAAGAAAACCCATTGAATGAGAAGGTGTGTCCAAACTTTTGGCCTGTACTGTATCTCCTCCATTAATTTATAGTGCAACAGAGTCCTGCATGGTGGCCGTGTTGTGCAAAGATGGCGTTGGAGGAAGGGGCGCGGAGCTGTCTGCTGCGCTTTCGCCACAGACTGGAGGAGGACATCAAGCCCTCCTTCCTGATGGACCACATGATCAGTGACGGTGTGCTGACCGTGGATGAGGAGGAGAGGGTCAGGACGAAGGTGAGCTTCTGCTGAATATTCATAATTTGGAACCAACTAGAGCTGCCACAGAACTTGAGTACAATTGCACATTTTGACTCCACTACAGTTGTCTGAGAGCTTTAGTTACTTTGCAGGTTGCAATTCCTCATCCACTTCCTGTCCAGAGAAAACCATGTATCTCCAGATGTGTTGATTTTAAATGTTTGTGATAAACTGAAGGATGAAATGCTCCTTTATGCGCTGAGAAAATTCCCCCAGTTCTAAAGCTAAAGAAACTTTTGAAAAACCCTCTTGGACCAGATGGTTCATGCATCAAAACAGGGCTGATTTTCTGACACCATGAAAAGTCGACTCTTTGTGGAGACTTTTCAGACCCTTTTGGCGACTTGCTGCTCAAAGTGAACTCAGTCAGCAGGTCAGGTGGAAGCAGCACCACAGCTTCTCTTCCTCCCTCAGCATGCGCATGCAGGCTGGAGTGTGTTACTATGGTTGGCTTGCAGCTTTCTCCAAAACCTCTCCAAACAACTTCACACTCAACATCATGCTTCCTTGGGTCTGCGAACAGAAAAGTCCACTTAGAAAGTTACATTGCTGATGCCTTAAGTGTTGAGTTTGCTACAGTGCAACATCTGTGGTCTTTCTGGTGTCACTGTCTTCATCTGTTGGTAAATATAGCAACCCACAGAGAAGTGAAAACCACATATAAACCATATAAAAAACATACATATGCCTTTAAAACTTTCTCTGTCTTACATATGGCACATGACAGATGTTTCACCAGCTCATGAGAATCTTTAAAATAGCAGCAGCATGTAAAATGCATATTATGAAGTCCACATATATCTAATATCTCTCTGTGTCTCTCTCTTCAGTCCACCAGGAAGGATCAGGCTGCAGCCCTGCTGGAGCTGCTGCTGGGTAAAGACAACCGTGCCTACATCTCCTTCTACAATGCCCTGATCAAGGAGGCATATGATGATTTGGCCAATCTGCTTCACGATGACCTACCGCGCACGTTACCTGATCCACATAAGAGCTCCTCTGATGGCTGCACACCTTATGGTGAGAAAGCTGTGGGTGTTTGCACCAGTGGAGAGGATGGAGGTGTTGGTGTCAGTGCGTGGGAGTCCTTGAGTGTTTAATACAAAGAATTAGTGCATGTGATATTCTGGTTGGACATTTTGGGTTACTACAGCAGCTCAATACATTGTGAGATTAAAAAAGTATGTTGACAGGCTGCCCAACTTCTCAACTTTTAATTTTCAAAGTTCATTTTGTGCATTTAGAAGGTGTGAAAACTTCAGCGCTTGCTGAGTTTATCTGCCCTTATAATGCTTTCAATTAAGGTCTTTCCTGTTTGTCTAACAGTCCAGACAGTGCTCAGTGAAGGCGGCGTACCGCAGAGGCCCGTGGTGTTTGTCAACAGACCAGAGCTTGTGAACCGGGTCAGGGAGAAACTCTACCGGCTGCAGAAGGAGCCTGGCTGGGTCACTGTCTTCGGCATGGCTGGCTCGGGTAAATCCGTCCTGGCTGCTGAGGCTGTCAGACACCACGGACTCATCGAAGGTGAATAATCTTTGACTGGCTGTTGCTAACGATTGGCACATCTTATTGTGAAATATGAAAAGAAAAAACACTAAGAAATTGTAAACAGTTGTAGTAATCCTGGACTGATATTCATTCTCAATACAGTTAAAATTTCAAACAGGTTTGGCTGATTCTTAGTAGAATCCTGTCTGACCTGTCCGTCCCCTCTCCTCCTCCTCCTCCTCCTCCTCCTGCAGAGTGCTTCCCTGGAGGGATTCACTGGCTGTCCATCGGCCAGCTGGACAAACCAGACTTGCTGGTCAAGATCCAGTCTTTGTGTTTCCGCCTGGAGCAGAGCCTGGACTCCCAGTCGCTCCATCGGCCCCCCAGCTCTCTGGACGAGGCCAAGGAGCGCCTGCGCTTCCTCACTCTGCGCAGATATCCCAGGTTACTATATGTTCAGATAAATATGATCCACTTTGTGCTTTTTTAGATGAACATTAGTGTTGTCTAAATTCGACTGCATGGCAAGGCAAATTGACTTTTGGACTGGAAATGGAATTTTAAGCATAAACTGATGCCACAGCAAGAATTTAAGCGATTTACAAAACTAAGAGTAACATGGAGAAAAGTTAGCAGCAGCAACGACTTGATTCCACTCCAATATTTTATATACCAACTTTATTTGTAAAGTTTATATATTATATATATATAGATGATGGGAATCCACAAGCATATAAAGTCATTTGTCCTTTGTTTTCTGCATAATTGGTTTGATACCCACAACATGACAACTATGGATGGCATTTCTTTGAATGAAGGGTTTCTTCACATATATTCCTTTTAAACAAACCAAACTCAGTCCTCTTAAAGTTGACCAAAAAGTGGACCAACAGAAAAGGGACTCAGTTCTTTTTGTGTTCACATTGTCAGCTCATTTGAAAGAGGACTCAGTTCTCTTTCTGTTCACGCTCTAGCCTACATATAATATATATTAATGCAGCTTTTTTTTCTACTTTGACGTGGCACTGCAGTGCGGTTATGAAGCCCCTCACTTTCAGATGAACTTAAAAATTGGAGGAAAACCTCAGCTTTTCTGTGCTGTAGACTTTAGCTATTTGATGTATTCCACTTTCCACATCTGGAGACGTACAGTATCTTCCGTGGACCAAAGTACTTCTTGCCCTGCGTCCTTGCAAGCGTTACAAGGTGACATGGTTTTGTCTGTTTTTTCAAGCATCCCAGTGCAACAGCATGTGATCTAGAGGGCTAAATAAGACGGCAAAGAGCAAAGCGAACCTGGAGCACTTTGTCTTCACAAAGCGTGGTCTGAATACGGTTTGCATCTGAGGGCGCTGAGTTCTCTTGGAGTGCTCACATATGTGCAAAAAATGCTGAGTCACAGCTCTGAGTCCGTTTAGAAGACTGAAAAGGACCAAGTGTGAAAAACACCATAAATGACAGATTTAAAGGTCCAGTGTGTGGGATTTAGTGGCATCAAGCAGTGAGGTTGCAGAACTGAAGCTTCTCCCGTGTGCCAAGCATGTAGGAGAACTATGACAGTCAACATGTAAATGCAAATGGCTGTATCTTGAGTCAGTGTTTGGTTTGTCCATTCTGGGCTACGGTAGAAACAACATGGCGGACGCCTTGGAAGAGGTCCCGCTCCGTATGTAGATATAAACAGCTCTTATTAACGTAACAAAAACAGAACAATTCTTATTTTCAGGAGATTATAAACTAATGACATCATAGTTATGAATATTATATGCCATTTCTGCCAATAGATGCAGGTGAATCCTACACACTGGACTTTAAAAAAAATAGGCACATATTTAATTATTCATTTGTTTATTGAACCAAACACGTATGAAGGATGTTAAATTTGGTTCTGGGAGATTTTCCTGTAGATGACATGTGGATATTTACTGTAACTGATCAAACACAAATGGACACTTGAATTGAATAAATGGTATTGTTATAATGTTGTGGTAAACACTGTTTCATAATTTTCTTGCCTGGGATCACTTACTGTTTTTGTTTTTGCTTCAGATCTCTGCTGATTCTAGATGACATCTGGGACAGTACAGTGCTGAAGGCGTTTGATATCCACTGTCGGATACTTTTGACCACCAGAAACAGAAGTCTGACTGACTGTGTTAGTGGTATGTGCCCTAGTTTTTACTACTCTGGACATTGTACACATGCAAACTCGAATTATTTAAATCTTATTTTTTAGGTACACCAGAAAAGTTGTGCCTATAAAAATGTATGTACCGTGCTTTTATATTGTAGGTCCCAGATATGAGGTTGAAGTGGAGAGTGGTCTGGATGAAAACAAAGGACTGGAGATCCTTGCTCTGTACACTAAAACTAAACTCCAGGGACTTCCTGAGGAGGCTCGCAGCATCGTCAGAGAATGCAAAGGTCTGTAAACTGAAACATTTTATATATGCATTCCTTATTTTCTTTCACAATATGAATTATTGTGATATGTAGAATATTTGTAAGTTCTCCCCCTGCAGGTTTACATCTTGTGTTTTAAGGTGCTAATATGCCTTTGCTCACATATTGTGTCTTTAAAACACACGCTTTTCTGCTCCTCTGTGCCACCACCCCAGGCTCCCCCCTGGTGGTGTCCCTGATAGGGGCTCTACTCAAAGAGAAACCCAACCGTTGGCGTTATTACCTGCGGCAATTGCAGCAGAAGCAGTTCAAGCGTATCAGGAAGTCGTCTTCTTACGACTACGACGCCCTCGACCAAGCCATGGCTGCTAGCATTGAAGTCCTACCAGAGGATCATCGCGAGCTCTACAAGGACCTTACTGTGATAGAGAAGGACATCAAAGTGCCTGCAAAGGTTTGTCTGCACAACAAGAGCTATGGATCTGACATTATATTATATATTATATTTAATGATCAGGACCATCAGTCCAAAGATGCACAAGCTACAGTGTTATTCCTTTTTCCAGGTGCTGTCTATTCTGTGGGACTTGGAGCCGGAGGAGGTCGAGGACATCCTCGAGGAGTTCGTCAACAAGTCTTTGCTTTTTGTAGACAATCACAATAAACCCTACCTGTACTACCTCCATGACCTCCAGCTGGACTTCCTGGTGGAGCAGAATCGCACCCAGCTTGAGGTTAGTTTGGATGCGACCTTCCTTTAACTATTGGATTTCAATCTTTTTGTTAAAGCAGCTTCAAGATGTTTTTAACTGGTTATGAAACAGTCTTAATTTGATGCCTCCATATGACCTACATCAGCAAACAAGACCATCAGCGTGATTGGCTTTTTCAATAGTGCACGTCCCCAGGTCATTCCCTGCTAAACTAGACGAAAGGATTTAGGCACTCAAGGAGTCTATGTTTACATTTTCACAGGCAAAGTTTCGCAGTGAGTTGTATGTTAGTAAGCTGAAAAGAAGCAGGAGAAGAATTTCCTTTTGAAATTTTTATTTATTTTAAGTTGTATTTTGTGGTTATGGCTGATACTGAGGCAAGATCAGCCAAGTTAAAAAAGAAAATAATTAGGCAAAAAAACCTAAAAAAAAAAGCCACAATGGACAGAAAATCTGGTCAACCATGGTTGGATGTGAAAATTTACATTTATGGCTAAAACAAAGTTGACTTTGTTTTACCGTCCCAACTTCCACATGCCGCCAAGAAGTGTGGACGTGTGTTAGTGGACCCTTGGTGATAGGCCTCGACAACTGCTTTTATCCTTGTTTAATTTTCCTCAGAACCTTGAGTAACAAATAAGAAAAGAAACAGAGAGTCATCTTTTGTATGACAAGCTACAATTTTCAAAAGAAAGAATGAAGTTAAACTACATCTCGGACCTCACATCACTTGCACACTGGACGCCTGTTGGGAACAATGGCAGCTGGGCAAGAAAAAGCCGCTATGACCCTCTCTAAACTTGGAAGCTATCCAGGAAACCAGTGGGCCAGCTCTATGGGCCACACAGTGCGGAAGCAGTGCAGATCATCAGGATATTTCACACACAGCAGTGGCATATTTTCATAGCAACTTTCATATGAATAAATGGGCTCCCGTCTCAAAAGCTGTATCCAGGTGTCTTTATACATCCAGGTGTTGGCTACACAAGGCCATTTTAGCTGTATATATTTACGTGTGTGTTTCAGAGCCTCCACACTAAGATGGTGCGTCAGTACCAGCAGTACTACAGAGATGGTCCTCCCACCTCAGGAGACGAGGAGTGTCTCTACTGGATCAGATTCCTGACGTACCACATGGCCAGAGCCAATCTCACCCAGGTTTTACAAATGTGTCCTTTAATTAGTAACTAGTGATAATTGTGCTTAAAAACTAACCAAAAGGGTTGTATGGTTTTTGCAGGCCTGTACAGAGCTTTAAAACTGATGTGATGCCTAACAGTGGAACACAATTTTGTCTCTGTTTCTGTTGGTTTCTTACCGTCTGTTTCTGTCTCTGTCCAGGAGCTCTACTCACTCATGTTTTCTCTGGACTGGGTCAGCACCAAGGCCCAGATCATGGGTCCAGCTCACCTCATCAATGACTATGTGGAGTACGGACCCATTCTGGACAAAGAGGTCAGCAGACAACAAAAACTTGGTTATATTCTGGTTATATTGTGTTTGTTTCTGGTCTTCTGCTGTCACTAGAAAGATTAAAATTGTAGCAGGCGAAGGTGACATGGTTCCCCTTCATTAGAATATGAACTGTGCTCAGATGTGCGTCCCTCTTCAGGGAGAATGCAGCTTTAGGAGTCCATCTGTCTGTCGTGCCGTTGCCCTTCTCCGTTAAACTTGGTGAATTAAATCAAAAGTGTGTCCCTCTGTTATCTTTCCCCAAAGTTGTTTTCCATTATCTCTAATGAAAACTCAAGTTTATTGCCCTTCCATGTTTTTGCTGTCCCCCCGTTCCCTTAACAATTTTCATCAGTGCGAGGGCAGATTTGATAATTGCCAAACGGTTTATCAGACACGAGCGGGGAAGCATGGGGCTATGATCCGTAACTTGCACACCTGTTTTACCAGGACATTCATAGTAAGGCGGAGTTGGCAACAGTAAGTTTTGATTTTTATGCCAAAGTCACAGTTTAATCTTCAGTATAGTGGGACTGAAAGTGTGCAGCAGAAAAAATGGATTCATTAATTAAAATGATGATTTCTGTAAAGACTGAGTCAGCCGTGGCTGGTGCCATTATGTTTTTGGGTTGTCTGTCTGTTTGTCCATTTCATTCTTGTGAACGTGATATCATAGGAACAGCTTGAGGGAACTTCCTCAAATTTGGCACAAACGTTCACTTGGACTCAACGATAAACTTATTATTATTTGGTGGTCAAAGATCTCACCAAACATGTTATTGGCCATACCTCAAGAATTCTAATGCCAATTTTGACTAAACTTCAAATTTGGCACAAACATTCACTTGGCCTCGAGGTTGAACTGATAAAATTTTGGTAGTCAGAGGTAAATGGTCACCATGACCTTGCCTCCATCTCACTCTTATGAGTACAAAATCTCAAGAACAGCTTGAGGGAATTTCTTTAAATATGGCACAAACATCCACTTGGATTCAATGATGAACTAATTAGATTTTGATGGTCAAAGGTCAAGGTCAGTGTGACCTTGAATCTGTCTCATTCTCTTGAACGCAACATCTCAAGAACAGCTAACAGGAATTTCTTCAAATGTTAACTTGGCCTGAAGAATAAACTGATTAGAATTTGGTGGTTGAAGGTCAAAGGTCAAGGCAACTGTGACCTCACCAAACATGGCCATAACTCAAGAATTTCTATGCCAGTTATGACAAAATTTCACCTCCATGTCTAATAGGATAAAATGATGAAGTGATGACATTATATATCCAAAAGGTTAAAGGTCAACTTTACTGTGGCATCACAGTGTTCTACAAAAACACTTTTCTGACTATTACTCAACACCATAACTCAGGAGGAGAAGACATTTGGGTGGTGCAATGGTTAGCATTGTTGCCTCACAGCAAGAGGGTTCCTGGGGTGGGGGGCCCTTCTGTGCAGAGTTTGAATGTTCTCCCCGTGTCAGCATGGGTTTTTCATACAGGTTAACTGGTGACTCTAAATTGCCCGTAGGTGTGAATGTGAGTGTGATAGTCTGGTGACCTGACCAGGGTGTACACTGCCTCTTGCCCAGTGTCAGCTGGGATAGGCTCCAGCACCCACGCGACCCCCAACGGGATAAGCAGTTACAGAAAATGACTGAAATTAATCTTTGTTGTCCACCTTGAAGCTGTGCTGAATGTATAGATCAGTGGTTCCCAACTGGTGGGTCCCAGGTACATGCTGAATGGACCACAAGCGACTTGCAAACGTGTCAAGTTTGTTTATATCGAAGTACAGTGAATTTCTGGCACAGAGCTTTCACTTTGAAGTGCAGTTTCCTGCTGTAGAGTGAGTGACTAATGGACAGCTACATGACAGAGACAACAAAGTAGCTTGATGACATGGCCAAATGCAAGTATGACACTGAATCCATTGTGGACCTTGAAAAGATGACTAAGGAGAAATCTGGACTCTGTTACTGGACCAGTTGGGAACCACTGGTATCGATCCTCTGTGCTGCTGGGTTAAAGATTTGTTTTAAGCATCCACATTTCAGAATTTGTAGCCTCTTTATAGCAACATCCATATTTGAAGCATTGACAGCTGTCATGGTCACAGCTTTGTGCTGTGTCCTGTTCCTTTGGTAGTCCACCTTAAGCTCTTTGGTGTTGCTGATATTGAGCTTCATGTGATTGATGTTGCACCATGTGATGAAGCTCTCTGTTAGTTTTCTGTAGAAACAGAATTTAAGAGAAGACAGCATTTTCTTACTGGAAATTATTCACTTGAATCATCCATGTCAGTATAGTGAAAACCTATTTTCGTTGTACACCAACCTGTCAGGTAAATGGCAGTGAGGCAGTAATTCTAGTTTTCATAATATTTTACTGAAGCAGTGTTTGCAAAATGCCGAGCAAATGACTTGCAGAAGAAGAAAGGTTAAACAAGAGCAGAAGAGGATTAGTACGCAACCCCGGGGGTGAGGGTGACGGTTATTGAACGGGGGACAAACATAATTATCACACAAACTGTGTTTACACCAATAATTATTGCGAGATTAAACTCCCCTCAGACTGCTTTGTGAGGAGCAGTTGTGCCCTGATGATGAGGGGCTGGTGTTTCTTATTAGCGTAACATGCTTAAGAGTGTGCTTGTTTTCTGTCTTCCTCAGAACAGTGACGTGCGCAGTCAATTCCAGGAGTTTCTCTCTCTGAACGGCCACCAGCTGGAGCAGCATCCTTTCCCTGATGTGGTACAGCTTGCTCTGTCTCAGTCACGTACCTCCGAGGTCTACAGACAGGCTCTGCGGCAAGCGCAGGAGCGGGCCAGCAAGGGGAAACTCTACTTTGACTGGCTGTATGCAGACAAACAAATATTTTCCTATAGTGTTCTGATGTGTGAATGTTCTGATAATGAAATTAAAGGGATAGTTAGGATCTTTTGAAGAGGCATTGTATGGGGTACTTATCCAAACTCATAGTATTACATACAGTAGATGTCTGTCAGTATGCCCCACAGTTTTGAGAAGCATGCTGGAGTCCAACGCGGAAGTTAAGCAGTATCCTGCTGTGGACGAGGGAATTTTAGCCACCAAAAAAGTCCCCCTTAAAAAAAATCAGTATCAGTTTAAGCGTACCCTACATTTGGAAATTTTCAGGACTTTACCTCGCCATCAGATGTCGATTTCAGGTGGGAAACTAAAGCCGCTAGATCACTCTCTTCAAAGCCGGACTCCATTGAGAAAAACAGTGATTTAACATTACTGAACACAGGAGCTGCTGGTCTTCCACTGCCTCAATCAATTAATTAGTTTGTGTTACTGTGTAGGCTGGGCTTTTAAAAGGGTTAGTTCAGATTAAGGGAAGTCACACAATTACACAAACTACCTATCTGATCGAGGCAGCAGTAGACCAGCAGCTCAGATGTTCAGTGAGCTTAAATTACTGTTTTTGTCAATGGCGTCTGGCGGCTTTGATGAGAGCGTAGACAGGGAACTGAAGCTGTTAAAGGCTTCCCTGTCAAAAAGGGCTGTCTGACAGCAAAGTAAAGCAGTAAAAATATTCTCAGTATAGTGTACACTGGAACTGTTATGAATTTTTTTAGGTGGGACTTTTTTTTAGTGGCTAAAATATGTTTTGCTGCTGCCCCTGCCCACAGCAGTACGTTGCTTAGCTTCTGTATCAGTACTCCTGCTGCTTCTCCAAATCGGGAGCTAGCCAACTGCTTTCTACTGTATGTAATACACTGACTATGGATAAGTACATCATACTACCCCACTTCAAAAAATGCAAACTATCCCTTTAAAAACGAGTTATCCATTGGCCATGGATCAGTTATATTTGAAATTGTTTGCAACGACTGGGTGCACAACTATGAAGAAGATTTCTGCAGCAATATTAACATAAAAGCTAATTAGATGCAGCTTTTTTTGTCAATGTTTCTGTTGCAATTAACGGCCACTAGGTATAATTCATTGATTTGCCATGTAAATACGCAAAAATCAATTGTAATTTTCACTGAAAGCAGCAGTAATTGTGTAAACATTCATAACAGTTCAGTGCATCTGAAATGGAGTAATACAATGGGAACAGATTATGTCATTCAAAGTGCTCCCAGGTTGGGCTGATCTTTGTGTTTATGTTTTTTTTTGCACAGGAATAAGAGCAGCGTAGAGAGTCTGTCCCGTCTGGTGATCCATCCCCACCAGGGCTCCATCTACTCCGCCTGCTTCTCCCACGACGGAGCCAAGATCGCCTCCAGTGGAGCCAGCAAGACGCTCAAGGTATCAAACAGACATGTTTCTTTGAGTGTGTCTGTGTGTATAGGTGAGTGTGAGAAAATCACGAAGGGCAAATTGTTTCCATGGAGACCGAGCGCTGGAAAATATAAAGGGCAATCTACTTTTATTCCTGGGTGATGTTATAAAACGAAGAAAAAAAGAATATGCTGCATTTTTGTCAGAGACTGCATCTACTGGAAATACACCTGCCTGAGGTGTGCATGTACAGTGTCTTGCGTAACCACGTCTGTAGCCAAAACACTGTGGGTTAAGGGGTCATGTTTTACTTTTAGTATTGTTAGTTTTCTTTTTTAATTTATTTTGGGCATGTACAGCTAAATAACTATAACTATAACATTAAGAGCTTATTCACTTCAAAATGATGACGTTTAATAGTGGACTTTGTTCCTAATGTGTGATACAATACTTTTACTAATTCTCGTTGTGTAACTGCTGTCATAGTACATTTCCGCTCAGGTGTTCAAAAGCACCTCAGGTGAGAAGCTCACAGAGATCCAGGCCCACGATGACGAGGTGCTCTGCTGTGCCTTCTCTCCTGACGACCGTCTCCTGGCAACCTGCTCCAGCGACAGGAAAGTCAAAGTAAGCAGATACCTGTCCTCTCACCCATTGTGACCATTGTGCTCTGTTGATAGACGCCATCGTGAAACCAGACACGCCTGCATGGGAAGCTTTACACGACCCTAACTGAAGACCAGTGCATTAAAGAACACTGTAACGTACAGAGAAAGAAGAGTAGTTGTTACTGTGGTAACGATCACAGCATTTTTGTGTGTAATTTTGTCATAGAATACTTGAAACTGTCTCCTACTGCAGGTGTGGAACGTGGAGCGAGCCATGTTGCTGAGGGTCTTTGAGGAGGAGCACGAGGAGCAGGTCAACCACTGTCAGTTTACCAACACCACTCACCGCCTCCTGCTGGCCACCTGCTCCAACGACAAGTTCTTAAACGTCAAGGTCTGCAGGTGTATTTGTTCTGAACGTCTTGTAACTCTGATGTCTTCTGTCTCAGGATGTGTTTTTGCCATACATTGCACTAACAATGAAATGTGCAGCGGCCCTGAAACACATACAAATAGACAGAATACAAACACATAAAGAAAACATCTTTATCAATTTGTGTACACATGCTCAGCTTTTAGGAAGAAGTTTTGCAAAGTGAGAAAACACAACCAAACATCTGTGCTACTTCCAGCACTTCTGTATTTGGTGGTGTTTTTTGTGGTTGGCATTGGGCAGCGGCGGCGTGTGGCTGTGAGTCATTCTTTAGGATGAGGAAATCAGCTCACTTCCCTGTTAACTCCCCTCCTGCCAACTTCCTCAAGCTGGCCAGGTCGAGGTTTTGAAATGTAAACATCAGTAAACATTGAAGAAAAGACGGAGTGGATGGGCACCAAGCAAGACCATCTCTGTGTCCATCTCTCCATCCATATCTACATCGTAGGCGCTGTGGCAAAGGTGGAGGAATCAAACACAGCTGCATTTCAGATTGTGTGGATCTTTGTGCCGAACTAGCATCCTGCTAGCCTTTGTACAGCTGTTGGATAATAAACTGGGCAATCTCTGTCGCATCATTTTCCAACTGGATATCAGGACTTATACTATCCTTTGGTTCACTAAAGCTTTGCTAAATCCTTGGGAGCATAATTCACCCTCTTTATGAACACTCTGGATCAATGCTTTATGTGGTTTAGAGCAGAGTTGTTGGCCACATTCGGGGGGAGCAACCATGCGGCCTTCTTGTTTAGGTGAAGCTATAAAAACAAACTGCACAAGAGATGGAGCCAATCAAAGTCTGGAGGATGTTTCAAGACACCACCGTCGACATTGCAGATGATTTCAATGAATTCACTGAGTCTGTGGTGGATTTAATTCCCAAAACAACAGAAGCAACTGTACCCAAAACTACAGTTAAATAAACCATGGATTACCAGAACCATCCTGGATACCATAAACACACACATAGCAGCCTGCCTGGACACATGGACAATCATAAAGCAGCAGCCAACAACAGAAGAAGAGGCAATAAAAGACTAAATTACAGTGCACAGGCTGAAGGAGCTGACCTTGTATGATTTCATGGGACAAATAAATGATGAATTGATGACCTCTCCCTCTCACTGTGTTTCTCTGTTTCTGCAGCTGTGGAACCTGAACAAGCCGACCTCCCAGAACACCATGTTTGGCCACTTTGAGCCAGTCAACCACTGCTGTTTCTCTCCTGATGACACCTATGTGTCCACTTCCTCCAACGATGGAACCGTTAAGGTGACTGCCATTAAACTAGATACTTGTAAAGCTCTCCAAGGTAACTTAGTGTTTGGGCCAGGAACTAAGTATAGAGATTAGTTTTGGGGAAATAACTTAAGCCTTGTCCACATTAATGCAGGTATTTTTTTAAACATAGCTTTTTCTACGTGCTTTGGCCTTTCGTCCACACGCAAACTGCATCGTACATCACTCTTTGGTGAGGTTGTTCAATCAGTCAACTTCTGATTGGACAGCATGGCTTTAGGTTTAGGGTTATATTGCTGCCTGTTGTTTTTCATGCTTTTGAGAGAGCTTTATTTTCTTGTGTGTTCATGTAGATGGAGATTTTTTAAAACAGTGCTTGTGATTTTTTTTGAGAATGGAAGTAAGAGAGGAAAAACCCTGTTTTTAAAAAATACCTGTGTACGTGTGGGCGAGGTCTAAGTATCTTGGCTACTCTTGGGCAAATAACCAAGTATCTGTATATGTGCAGCTGTTTCAGGCGTCATCTGCCAATGAGTGGAAGACAATCGATGTGAGAGACATGCTGACAGACAGTGATGACGATGTCTTCGTCAAGTGCAGCACCTGGACCGCAGACGGCAAACGCATCATATGTGCAGCCAGGAATGCTGCTCTGGTGAGCGTTTTGTGAACATTTGTTTCCAAGTGTATATTTTAATGAGTGGAGATGTTGTTGTTGTTGTGTGTGGGGAATGTGTGATGCAGAGGGTGCAAATAAGTTGGAAGTGGAGCTGTCTTGTCGTACATGTCTCAGCTGCTCAACACTGCAGGGTTCACGTCATCCTCCCTGCCCTTGATGTCGGTGTGTCATTTCATTGAAGGAGACAGGAAAGAGAGGCTGTTTGTCACTTTGTCTTCCAGAGAGTCTGAAGAGTGTGTGTTCTGGTTGCAAATGTGAGCAGCCCTTCCCCTGCGGAGCTTTTCAAAATCAGCCAGTCTTGTCCTGTAATCAGTCTGTCTCTGTCCTCTGCGTCCACATTTGTTTGTATTCTGGGAAACAACCCAGCAGAGATGTCTGAACTTGTTCTTTTGACTTTAAGGAGAGGGAACATGACACTGATGGTGCAAGTTTGCTTCAGGTTTTAATCTCCAGGCACGACATAATACATTTTATTGTAGAGTACAACTCAGTACACCCACTTAATATGGACAATACATGCTGTCTAGATTTATAGTAGAGCCAACCTTTACACTTGTGTACCTGATTTACACACATATTGGTATCAGTGTAAGGCAAGGCAAGACAGGTTTACTTATATAGCACAATTTGTTTATATGGGCAATTCAAAGTTTGTTACAAGTGAGCAGATAAAATTATCATATAAAAATAAAAAAGTTAAAAGAACACAAGGAAATAAAAGATTAAAAAAATACTGCTCAAACATATTTGAGAGTTATTTTAGTCCTGTCCCATTTAGTGATTTATAAACAAGCAGCAGGGCTTTAAAGTCAATTCTGTGTCTTACTGGAAACCAGTGTGAGGACTTGGTTTCTTTTGGTTTTTGTAAAAAGCAGCTGCCTTTCGTATAAGGTGAAGCTGTTCAGTTTTCTTTTTAGGAAGGCCTAAAACATGTTTTAAAGTCTCTGAGATTGATGTTTTCGAGATGTGAAACAGCTGATTTAGTTATTGCGTTTACGTTTTTTAAAAACTACGATTGCAATCACTTAAGACACCAAGGTTTTAAACAGTGTAGCAGTGTTGCTTTCAGTCCTTTTGTGTCAAGATGAGTGGCAATCTTAAATTTCTCCTCATTTGTCCCAAATAAGATTATTAAGAGACACTATGGTTGTCCATTTATTAATAAAGGATTTCCTACTTACAATCAGATAGCCTGGAATGCTTCTCAGACTACCAACCTCTACCATTGACCTCCACATTACGTAAGATGGACAATCATGTTTTTTTTTGTTTTTATAAGATTATTTCAGTTTTGTCCTCATTCAGGTGGAGGCCATTTTGAGACGTCCAGCTGTTAATTTGGTCAATGTATTGGCAAAGACATTGTAGGGGACCAAAGTTGTTTGATGAGAAGGCAAAGTTAATAAAGGTATCAATAGCTATGATGAGAAATCAGAGGCCCTGTTTAGACCTGGTATTAACATGCATTTTGGGTGATCTGATCACAAGTGGACAGTGTTAAATACAAGTCAAAACACCAAGACGCATTGTGATCCAGTTACTAAAACCACTTGCCAAGGTGGTCATGGACTCATTTGACCACATATCATTTGCAGTATAAACAGTGAGGCGAAGTGGATGGAGTGTTGCATAACTACCCCTCATTTTACCCCCAAAATAACATGTTAGTACCAGGTCTAAACAGGGCTGTATTGTCACTGATTTGTGGAAGTGGAAGCACAGAGAGTTTGAATAATGAAGGCCCTAAAGTTGACCCCTGGGGGACACCATGAGTCAGTGATATTGGGGTTGAGGTATAGTTTTCAATGGAAACAACCAAAGTCCTGTCTTGTAAATATGATCGGAGCCATTTTATAACCATACCTGTCAAACATACTGTATATTTGAGGTTATTTAGAAGCACTGTTGGTGTTAATTATTTTATTTTATTTATTTTTTTTAACCAGGGAACACTGACACGTTTATTTATCAGCTATAAAATGTCCCAAGTTTTTTTTATGTTATACTTGTCAGAAAGTAGCCAAATTGTCACTGGACCAAGTGCTAATGTCGGCACTGGTCTAAAAATTTGCATTGCATAAATAAAAAGTGCCTAAACTACAAATTTCAGCAAAGTGAATGCAGCTTGCTGTCCTTTATTGCCGTGTTATAACTGCTCTTCATTTAATGCAGCGTTGAAAGGAAAGACTGATGTCATTATGTAAGGTTAATTATTTGTTAGATATGCCTGAAGTGAAAGAGGTAGTCATATTGTGCCCAGACTGAGTACACTCTGATTTGTTGTCTTTTTGTCGCTGTGTCTCAGGTGTTTGACGTGGAGACGTCAGACATGTTGTTGGAGATCAGAACGAATCGTCTAAGCACGGTGCAATACTGTCACGCCTGTCCTACCAACAACCTGTTGGCAATCGCATTCTCAAACTACGCTGTGGAGGTATAATGCATATGTCCTTTTAATGATGTAATATGTTCAAAACATTAATAGATTATTTTTCATTTTATTATGTTGTTGAAAAAATACATGTAGAAATGATTTAAATGTCAAATGTTCAAGTTTTTTCTGCATTATTTATTTTCTTAATGACTCCTTACGTTTTTAAAAATGTATTTGAATATACTGGTGAGGAAGTGCACAGTAGTTCATACTGTATGTGTGTGACTTCCAGCTGTGGGACTTGGAGGCCAATAAGAAGATGGCCGATTGCAGCGGTCACCTGAGTTGGGTCACGCATGTCCAATTCTCTCCTGAAGGCTCGCAGCTGCTTTCCTGCTCCTACGACCAGACCGTCAGGGTAAGGCCGACTCAGCGTGCAATGTTTTGTTTCTACATTAGTGTATCAGCTTGCACAGATATTATCAGTATTGTTCTAATTACCTCTTGTGAAATGAAAGCCACGCTAACGCTGAACATCACAAGTTGACTAATTGCCCTCTGTTCCCCCTCTGCCAGCTGTTTTGTTTCAGCCCCTAATGAGGAAAGCTCAGAAATAATATTGTAGCTTTATTTTGTATGAATGAAAACATTGCATATGAACCCTTTTAGGCCACAATGTACAATAAACAGCGACTGTGTGTTGTGTTATGAAAGAAGCTGAAACACTGGAGTTCTATGCAGATGTTGCCTTGACTTGCCTCAGGCTTTTGTCTCTGTTATTGAGGTTATGTAAATATGGGTCGCTCCTTTAAACAAAGCAATGTGTACCATAAACAGCCTGGAACAAAGTAATTTAATATAATCTCTCTGCAGTTTAGCCTTTTAGAATAGAATTTATGGCCTTTACAGATGCTGCGTTATAACAGGGTAGTAAAAATATGTTTAATAGTATTTTGATGAAACAGGACTCATGAATCTAAATGACAAACTAAAGCTGCAGTAAAGCATTCTGCACAAATAGATTCTCTGTTTAACCTAAATTATTATTTTAGTGACAGTATTGTACAGTAGGCTATGTGTAGCACTTTTCAAAACCAGTGTTATGAACTGTTACACTCTTACTGGTCTGACTGTGGTTATAAACCTGCCATTGGGCGGCTATTTGGGTTGGCATTCTCCCTCCTCTCCGCTATCTGCCTGCTACTGTTTTCAAAATTCCTTTTGCTACTGAAAACAACAATTTCCGAGCCAAAAACCTACGTGCTGAAAAGTTTCGATAAAGATTTGGATCAGTAAGGCACGCCTGCTTTGTTCTTTTGGTGAATTGTTGTAAAGATCTACACAAATAACAACTTGTGAACTCACCTTGGAAGAGCCCACACTCCGTCTCACAGGACTCTAATGTTGATCCGTTTTCTGCCGCGACAGTTGGAGCGGATTTGCCACATGTCTTACTGTTTTGCAAGAGCCACAGAGAGCCAGCAAATCGTCTTGACTATCAGATTATGTTTGTCTTTTTTATCTCTAAAAGTTAAATCATAGTCAATTTTTGTTTGTTACTATTTTCTGTGGCAAAGAATTGGCCATTTTAGTGACAGTGCTTACCTTCCCGTGTGCAAATGTTTCACCACAGGAAGTTCCCTCTGTTAAGTGCCCGGTCTAGGGGGAACCTAGACATAACATGCTGTGACTTCCCACTCTTCCCACTCCCAAGGAAGGCCAGTTACACAGTATTTCAGTATTTCAGCAAACAAAAATATACTCATGGACCCTGAACTTTGCTTACAAAAAACAAATGTGAAACCAAAGACAAGTTTCTAACCTAGACTCCTACCATACGAAACAAGAGCAAATGCATGAATGACTGAATAAATCCTTAGAACTAATCAGGGTGATAAGGCATCCATTACTAGAAACCACCTTTAGGGTGCTTTCAGACCTAGAGTTGTCTTGCTTTGGTCTGAATAAGGGACTCATTTTGTTACAAAGTTGTATAATTGCCTAGAGTTGGTTTTTGTTCTCACAGTAGCATTTACAAGTGGACCAGATCAAACGCCTTGTGTGAGAAAGCTGCTCTTGATTGGTCAGAACTTCCACGTGGGAAAAATCCAGGAAGTAAACTAAATGTTGAAAAAGAGTACACTTGCAAGATAAATGTGACACTTTCTAATGTCACAATGGAGGGACAACTTGCTGTGTTCACACCTGCCCAAAGGAACCACACTAAGGGGGCAAAAAAAACTTGTGTTTGATTGAACCGAACCAAACAGGGCAGGTGTGAAAGCACCCTAGTCTTGCTTATAAGGGTCATAATATGCTCAATCAAAACTACACAGGGAGGTGTGGGGGTTTCAGAAATTATTCGACCATTTGACAAGTTCTGATACAGTATACTGGTCATACTTTAAACATTACCATTGAGGTGACCCCACCCCCCCCACCCCCCATCAGCAACAGAAACCATCCTTAACAGAACAACTAATGTGGGCGGGGTACAATGACATTTAGGAGAAAATGTGGATTAACCTGTCCCATATCTGATCCACCAAGAAGAAAAGCTCACCTGACTTGTTATATGTTCATACAGAGGATAGGAAACCATTTTGAACTACTTAAGAGTTCCATTACCAGTGTTTATTTTTGAGCTGTCAGACCCCATCTGAAAATTCAGTTTGACGTGCCTAACAAAAATGTATGAGACAGACACTGATGACTTATTTATTGCCACAGACAGGTTATTCCCAGCATGTCTCTGCAGCGAAATGATGAAAAGTCAGGCAAAGTATTAACAAGCAACACCACTGTCTATGTAAACTAATTTGATGCCAAGGTCTTCTCACCTGAGATGAACTCCTCTGCTTAAATACAAGTCACAAAGAAGTCATTTAGGAGGATGAAACACTTGAGAAGTGAATGTTGGCTGTAGCTCTCTCAGTGGAAGTTTACATTATGTTTGAGTCAAGCCTGTTTCCTGTCTTGTGTTTGATGTAGTTATGGGAGGCTAAGAAGGTGCACACCTCCTCAGCTGTCTGCCTGAAAAGAGACTCTGATGTTCTCTTCAATGATGAGGAAATCATCGTGTCAGCTGCAGACAACTGCAACAGACTGCAGGTGAGCCGGTGGGTGAAGGAAGAATGAATGAATTAAAGGCGGCGGGCTGGTTGGAGCAGGAATGTGAAGCTGGAATGTTTGTTTGTGGTTTGGGTTCAAGTGCAGACAAGTATTAACACACTCTGATGATCAGGTTTTTACTGAAAAGTGTGTGTGTGTGTGTGTGTGTGTGTGTGTGTGTTAGGTGCGTGATGGCAGGACAGGATCCGTGCTGTTCCAGTCGGAGGAGATGTTGTCCAGGATCCGGTGTACGTGTATGTGCAGGCAGCCCTCTGCTGTGGCCCTGGGCCAGGAGGACGGCACTGTTCAGGTAGAAAACTCATTTAAACCTTCAAGACACACTGTATGTGTGTGTGTGTATGTGTAACAAGATAGTAGACAATCGTCCACTGCTTTTTGAGAAGAGAAGTTTGAGAAGAAAATTAAACAGCACCATTGTTCATCAAGCGAAAAATTCGGAACATTTGGCTGTTCTTGCTTTTAAATTGTAGATATTTTCTGCTTTTCTTTGTTTTCTATTATTGTAAATTGAATATTTTTTGTGCTTTGGACTGAGACAAGCAATTCTGAAACTTCACCGTGGGTATTTGGAAGATATTTAATCCTTTCCTCTTTAAAATGTCAGAAAATGGTGAAAAATCCACAACGAACAGTTGGACCAAACAAACATATTTAGTCTCATAAGAAAAAATAGCACGTCTTCACATTTTACAAGATGAAAGGAGACGAGTAATTGATTATCAGATGAATTTTCTATATATCGACTAATCACTAAAAGTTGGAGTGCATGACTTTAAATATAAATGAACATTCATTACATTAATGCTTTTGCCAGACGAGTACACTCAATGCTAATTCAACCTATTGCTGCCAGGGAGATCTCTTCTTATTTCATAGTATGCCAGAAGAGTGCCAAGAGTGAAAGGGAGCAGGAAAGGGCAAGAGAACAAAGTGGCCACGCAGCAGCTTGGAGTCGGGTGGAAGCTATGGTGGAAAATCCTAAAAAATGTCCAAGAATAGTTTCTTAAAATATGCTCCTGATAAAAAAAAAATGGACTGCCGTTCTAAAGCTTCACATTAGGAATTTTTGGTGCAAATAAGACAAAAAGAAACTGTGTAATTCTTAAAGCACCAGCAAAGGGTGAAACGCACCCCTAGCTGCCCTGCCAAGCAAGAGTCTTGGTGCTCCTGGGCTATTGGCATGTAATAGGTGATATGCATACATGTGGTGTAAAATTGGCCTCCTTCTATGCAAATAATCCTCATTGTAAAACAGTCCAGTTCACAAGGATTAGCACTAATAGCCACATAAAGCTACAGCGAAATTATTTGCAAGTGTTGGTGGTAACTTAACTCACTGACTGGGACATTAAATCCTGAAAACGGTCTCTCTCCGTCATGTTTAAATTCCTTGCCACAAGTTTTGAGGAATGCCTCTGTGCCTCGTTATTCAATACTTGCATCTCACAATCTGAAAATGTCAGTTTTCTTTTTCTCTCTGCCTTTGTTCTGAAGCGGCAAGAAAAATGAAGCCAATGCACAAGTGCCAAAAACTGCAGTTCCTCTAATGGCCACTTGAGGCTGGCTCCAAGAGCGAGTCAATCCCCATGGACCCCCATGTTAAAATGCCCAACTTTACAGCAGAAATAAACACGTTTACAGCCTGCTACAAAAACAGCTTTGTTTGTATAGCTAATTTTAACAATAATGACAACTTTACAGGAGGTGAAATTTTATGTAACTCACAAAACTTTTAGCATTTTATTAAGGCTTAAAGGTACGCATATTTATGAGTGGGGCCCCTTTGAATGACAGGCTGTCTGCGAGGCTATCTCACTCTTCCACAGCTCCACCTTTTCTTCTAAATGTGGTCACTTCTGGCTCCAAAAAACCAAGATGGCAATGGCTGAAATGCCGAACTGGAGGCTTTAAAGTGGCAGTCCATGTCACAGCAACTACATCCATTATTTTACACAGTCTAGGATTGTTCTGCCTGCTTTGTTCTTGGTCCAGAGGCAACATTTACACTTTGCCACACTGATAATTGCACTCAGCTGCACAATGTATGGCCTTCTTTGCACCATAATATAATAAGTCCTGTATTTTTTGTGACTCAGACCTTGAGATGGGGCAGATATCGGCTGTAAGTGATGCACAATTCATGTCGCTATCAGCAGCTGCAGTACATCCTTTTAGAATTTGCTCATTTGTGTTTATAAAGACACGATTGACAATCAAGCAAAAAAATCACATTTTTAAAATAAAGGTTGCAAATTCCCACTTTAGTGTATGTGTGTGGGCATGAGAATGTCTTTTTGTGTGTGTGTGTGTGTGTGTGTGTCTCCATGTGGCTGTAGGATGTGTTTTTCAGACCATGTTGAGTCATGAGATCTGACATTAGCACTGTCACCCTTTTTATCTGTGCTGTCAGCTGTACGTCAGGTCAGCTCAAAACACCTCTTTCATCTCCGTCCACTCCTCGCTGTTCTGCCTCCCCCTTTTACCTGTGATTTGTATTCTCTGCGCTCTTCACTCCCGCTCCCTGTTTTCATATTTTACCGTCTCTGTCACATACCTTTTCATTTTATTCCCTCTTTTGTTTTGTTTATCTCTCTTCCTCCTTTTGTTCTGCCCGTCCCCCTGCTCTCTTCGCTCCGCCGCTCTTTGTCTTGGTGATAAATCGTTGTTTGCAGGCAGAGAATGAGGTCCTAGTCCGCCATGTGGCAGGTGTGTGTGTTTTTGTGTAAGAGTGTATGTGTGTGTTGCAGGCTATGCACATATTGCAACTGTAGAGGACGTCGTCCTGTATTTAAACAAACACGTAGACACATATGCACACAGTCCCCTGAGTTAGCCATGCTGTGGCCAGGTGAGCGTCCTACAGCAGATTAATTAATTAATTAATTAATTAAAAGGCCCTGGAGTCTTATTGGATACAGGGGTTAATGCCTTTAATTATGGCTCCTCTCCTGGTCCCAGAGATATACGAGGAAAGGATTAGTGGACACAAGGACTCAGATTACAAATCATCTGTATTTTGAGTTCTTAAATCTAAGAGCCCAAAAACATCCTGGACACAGAAATGGTGAAATACAGTTTACCAGTCTGACTCCACAATTCAGTAATTTCTCAGTCTTTTCACATGTTCAACAAGTGTTTTCTAACATGTGTAATGTGGTTAGATGTAAATCTCAGATTTTACTTTACCACAACTTTAACAACAGATCTCCGGAAGTTGACAAGTTAGATTACCCGTCAGTCATTGCACCTCGCTTGTGTGGCAAAAACAAAGGACGCAGCTGATGTGACATCATTTAACATGACCGAACTCAGCTGAAAATGTCCATTATTAAACATCAGCATGCACAACATTAACAGTAAAAGCTATAAATCATGCCTACATTAACTTTTATTTGTGTGTAATATGGCAAAAAATCTGATAATTTTGCTCAAGGATTTCATCATAAGTAATGAATCTCAGGGTCTTGTCCATGAGTGAGGATAAAATGGAGTGTGAGGTGGACATGCGTTGGACCAGACCGTCGTGGTGTAGAAGGAGTTGAGCTGGAAGGCAACGCTCTTGATTTACTGGTCCCTCTTTGTCCCAACCCTCACCTGTGGTCATAAGCTTTGGGTAGTGGCTGAGAGAATGAGATTGCAGATACAAGCAGCTGAAATGAGTTACTTCCATAGGTGGCTGGGCTCAGCCTAAGAGATAGGGTGAGGAGCTTAGACGCAGAGGGAGCTCGGGGTAGAGTCCCTGCTCCTTCGTGTTGAAAGGGGTCAGTTGAGGTGGTTCGGGCATCTGATCAGGATACCTCCTGGAAGCCTCCCGTTAAAGGTTTTCTTGGCATGTGCATCTGGTAGGATACCCCAGGGTAGTCCCAGAACACGCTGGTGGGATTACATATCTCATCTGGCCTGAGAACACCTCGGGATCCCTCAGGAGGAGCTAGAAAACATTGCTGGGGAGGACGTTGTCTGAAGCACCTTGCTTAGCCTACTGCCTCCACAACCCAGCCTCAGATAAGCAGATGAAAATGGATGTATAGGCACTGTTTTGAGACATCTAAATGATTTGGTATTCCTTGTTTAACATTCTTTTTAGCTCACTGACTGTTGTATTTTACACCTTATCAGTTCCCTTCAACAGACTTAGATACAGTTGAAGTGTTATGTAATCGTCATGGAGTCCAGAGCTTTTGCTGATGTAGTCCCCTGAACGAACACCAGAGGGCACCCCAGTGTCAGTTGGAGGTTTTCCTGCTGCCTGTGACCACTGCAGTTTAGGACAGTCATTTCCCTTTTCCCTCATATGGAGTTATTTACAACCAGTTAGCTGGAGTAAAAATAAGTAACATATCAACAGCCTCAGTGTCTGACACACAAGATCTGTTCTGCTAATGTGAAGAATATCTGACCTCATGTAAGACGTGTAGACAAGGACCAGAAAGTTACCGTTTTCATGATTTAAAAAGTGCAATTGTGAGTGTGTGTGTGTGTGTGCTTGTGTGTGTTCTGTGCCAGGGAGCAGGGCTGACAGCTAGGCAGGTACTGAGGACAGTCGGCTGCAGGATCCGACGACTGTTGACCTCCTTCAGGGGGTTGATGCTGGCTGTAGGGCTGAGCTCAGGCAGCGTGCAGGTACGGCAGGGACAGAGAAATATCTGTTTGTATGTGTCTCAGACCCCTCAAGAATCACTCAAAATAACACACACTTGTACAGTAAGTACACTGCATGTGTGTGTTTTATTTGTTTAAGATGTCTTGTCATGCAGGACCAGCTTCAACACTGACCATTTTATTCCTTCATCACTTTTGTCAGTTTGTCTCAGGAGTTCTGCAACGCTTCAGCAACTTGTTTACTCCCTTGATAGTGGTATTTAAAACAACTATTCCCCATCATTCCTCTTTACATTAGCCTGCTTTTATATTTGTTTTGTTTTTTCTTACCAAACACCCTCAGGCATGTTTCCTGACTGCACCATCCCAGAAATCCTTGAGCCGGACGTGTAATGCTCGCCAAAGCGCCCTCTCTCCGGCTTTAAAACTTGCGTCTCAGTATGTGGAGCTTGACAAACATGGTCGGTGTGCCCCGAGGCTTGTTCTGCTCAGACATTTCAACCCTCTCCTCTGAGATGTAAATATTTTAGTGGCTGGTAAAATCCCAAGCGTTATGGGCCTCTCTGTTATACTTTGAAACTTACAGGTGCTGTGCTGTACTTATTTTGTTTTAGCATTTCTACCAGAGCTTTTTCTGCTTTATTTCCTGTTTTTAATTCAAGTTGCATGTCTGTTATTGTACGACACTCAGTAATTTATTGTTTCTGAAGTTTACAAAGTCACAGACGTCGTGGTGGCAAGGCGAAATTTGTGGATTTGTTTTTAATATCACTGGATAGATCAATTTGGGGGTTAATTAGAAAAATAGAAGGCTTTGATAAGTGCCTCAGAAGCTTTCATAATCGCAGCTGTAATCTATACCCATGTTTCACCTCATAATACCTGAATTAGCCTTCTTTATACTAGTCATTGATAAGGAGAATAAGTTCATTTTAGTGGTGAAAACACTTCTGTTTTCCCACACCTTACAAAATGCCACAAGATAAATGAATCCATGATTTAGATCAGTCCATCGGCAAATATATTTGTCCTGCCGTAATATTTTATTCCTGTTAGTGAGTGCTAAACATATTAACAAAACCGAGATGCCGCATCTATGCTACTGGCTCTGAGTTGTGCACAGCCAGTGGTGAAAGAAGTACTCAGATCTTTTACTTAACTAAAAGCAGATATACCACAGTCTAAAATACCTCAATAAATGCAAAAGTCCTGAGCGCAAAATGTTACTGAAGTACACAAGTTTTATCAGCAAAATGTGCTTGAAGTATCAAGAGTAAAGGTACTGATTATGCAGAATGCCAGTGTTATTTAATTACACAATATAACATTATTCTGTTATTATCACTGTCGTGTAAGAGCCTTTTAATGTTATACTTCTTTAACATGGAGCCAGTTTTAGATACTTCGTGTACTACTGGGTACTTAATATCATATAAGCATATCATGTGTTTTTATATTTAAAAAGTAACTAGGAACTATTATTGTCAAATAAATGTGGTTGAGTAAAAATCGCAATACATCCCTCTAAACTGTAGTGAAGTAAAAGTTAACAGAAATACTCAAGTTAAGTACAAATACCTCAAAACTATACTTAAAGTATAACTTTTTGAAGTGGGGTTGTATGAGGTATTTATCCACAGTCAGTGTATTACATAAAGCAGATGTTGGTCAGTACACAACCAGTCTGTACAAAATGAATTTTAGACACCTAAAACTAGTCCCCTTAAAGAAGAATCATTATCAGTTGAAGTGTACACTATATTTAAAATATTTTCACAGCTTTACTTTGCCGTGCGACAGCCTTTTCCGACGAGGAAAGCCATTAACAGCGTCAGTTTCCCATTTATGCTTTCGTCAAAGCCACCAGACTCCATTGACAAAAACGGCAGTTTTACCTCATTGAACATGAGGAGTTGCTGGTCTACCACTGCCTTGATCAGTCAGTTAGTTAGTTATTGTTTGACTATGGTGAATGCGAACTAATCCCTTTAAAACACCAAAGTTACACAATAAGATAAATAACCTGATCCAGGCAGCAGCTCCGTGTTCAGCCATGTTAAATCAATGTTTTTCTCAACGGAGTCTGGCTATGAAGAAGAAAGCGATATAATTGCTGTCTGATGTCAAGGCAAAGTGGTGAAAATATTCTAAATATAGCATACACCTAAACTGATGTTGATTTTCTTAGCTGGGCCTTTTTTAAGGTGGCTAAAATATGTTTTGTTACTCAGTCGTCTACAGCAGTACATTGCTTAGCTTCCATGGTGGTACTCCTGCTACTCTAAACAGGCATCTACTGTCGTTAATGCACTCATTGTAGATACGTGCCTCATACAACCCCACTTCAATCAGGAGAGGGAGGTTTTTATGGTAAAAGAATATTTATTAACATGTGAACGAATGAATAATGGAATGTGGAAAGTCTTTGGCGATTAGACCCCGTAGAGATGGTTTGATTTAAGGAGGGTGATGAATCCATAGTCGAATAGGGAACCCCCCCCGGGGTCTAGACGCTGGTGGTGGTAGAGGTGGTGAAGATGAGATGAGAGGAAGATGGAGAAGTGACGATGATCCGGATGAGTAGAGGAATGAGTCTTTGAGAGCTTGTCCTGGACTCTGGATACGATGGCTGGAGGTGACCAGGGTGGAGGAGGGTGCGAAGATTCTGCCTAAAATGATGGCTGACAGCAGCAGAAGAGAGAGCAGATTTAAAATTTTGCAGTGGCATCCTGATTGGCTAAGAGATCATGGCAAAGTGTGATTGGATTGATTGGAGTGAACACCCATAGTCAGCTGATTAGAGGGAGTAGTGAGAGTGGGATGGAGAAAATGTGAAAGGGTGAGCACGAGATGGTCTTCCTGATTGAACTTGCGCTGAGCTTCATTTCAAAAGACCCAAACTATCCCTTTTAGGGACAGGACTCAAGTAAATATACTTAGCTAAATTTCATCATTGGACATACTGCTGTTTTTACTTAAATGCTAAACATAAGCATGCTTATGTACTGATATTTAACAGGTACAATGGTTACTATGTTCACCATCCCAGTTGAGCATCTTAGCATATCAGTATTTTCCTCCTGGTGCTAAGAAGGGGCTGATGGGAAAGTTATTATTTTTACAGGATGATGAAAAGTTAAGGGATAACCCAAGTTATGACAGTTCTTCCTGTGGGTAACGTGAACACCCAGAACCACATTTCATGACAATCATCTAATAGTTGTCAAGATTTTTCAGTCTGGACCAACTGAGTGACAGGCCATCCCTGGAGCCACGAAACCACAATGACTAAACACTTTCTTATTTTGCTACAGGGCTCCCTGAAACCCCCTCAACAACTCCTTGAAGCCTCTGGGTTGTAGCGTTCGCGCCTATCCAGTTGACCTTTAGAGGGCATCCACAAAATCTCTCTTAAAAACAGTTTTGAATAGTCTGTGAAAGATTTCCATCTCAAGAGCCTATTATAGCAGCTTTTCATGCAGAGGCAGCCGTCTCAAGTTAGAACACGCATGATGACTTTTTTGTTTCTTCAAGCTGGGTCTTTTGAGCCTCAAAGCTGTTCTGTTCTCCCCCACTTATGTCTGCGGGGCTGTCAGACCCCCGGCAGCCCGTCGCAGTCTTGACCGGACTGAACAGTTGCGCCCAAAGCTCACATTTTTTCGCCTCATTCCACCTTCTTTTGATGTGCTTATCACCATCAAGCCAGCAGCAGCGCCTCACCTCTCTCCCTCTCAGTTACTCTGTAGAAATGTGACTTTGTGTCAGGAGTTTTACTTTCTAGGGGCAGCTTTCCTCTCTGAGTATATCTTGGCAGACGGAGCTATCATTTTAGGCTTGCATAGATATTCTAGACACCAGGTGTGAACCTTGTTTGACTTCTTGGTACAGTGGAGCTCTCAGTACACTGTCTTCTCATTGTTTTGGCCAAGTGCTATCTTAATTACTCTGGAACATCTCAGGTTTTTTTTTAGATTTCCACGGGATGTTATCAATGGGCATAGACCAAAATGCCTCTGGACCTTATAGACCCACAACCAATAACTAAACACGTAATGAATTGCAGAAAATTGCAAACAGAGATGATCTGTGATGGCGTAGCACCAATATAGCTGTGTTTTTGCCATAAGGATTTAAAGATAGAAAGTGTTTATACTTTGCCAGGTGACCAGACAAATCTACGAGCTCACGTTATTTTTGCTCTGATAGATGCACTTGCGATTTGGTCTGGCGATGTCAGGCTACACACTAGCGGCAACATCAGAAAGTTTCACCTGACCATCGCAGATTCGTCTGGTTCCCATGTAAGGCCGGTCCACTGCACTTTGGTCTGGACTGAAATAAATATCAACAACCACTGAATGGATTGTCATGAAATTTCATACAGACATTCAGGGTCACCAAAAGATGAGATCCACTGATTTTGGTGATCCATTGACTTCCTCTCATACCAACATGAAGTTTACATATTTGGTCTTCAGTGAAATATCTTAAAAATTGTCCAATATCTGACTGATCTGTATTTTTTGACCGCGGCCCAGATGTTTTGAAAAGCTACTAAGCGCTTTTCTACTTTGGCTACAAGCTAAAGTCAGATCGAAACAGATCCCTGTATATGGCAGTCTGCTCCAGGCACGGTAGTGCAAGTATGTCTTACACTGCTACATGTAGCTACGTGCTAATGTCAGGGAAACATGTAATCAAGGTCACTGATGTTGTAAATTTCTACCTCATTTTTTGGATCTGGTCCGGTTGTGTTTAGAGGCTTTTATTTGTGATTTTTCAGGGTAGGAAGAGACGCTACTCTCTGTTACAGTCACTCCCCAGGCTGCAATGGGTGTATTAGTGTATTAGATTTGTGAATGCTGGGCCACTCAAAAGTTGCTTCTGGGCAGTGTGGCCACCAGTTAAGTAGGCCTACGCTAGTGTGGCTGTGAACTCTTGTTGTTGTTTATTTGGGCACTTACGGTGCTAATGTTTGTTTCTTCCTCCCAGGTGTTGGAGGTGCCCTCTGGGAAGCTCCTAGCCACTCTGCTGGGACACACCAAGACAGTGCTGCACTGCCGTTTCAGCCAGAATGGACAAACACTTATCACGTCCTCGGAGGACACCACCATCAGGGTAGGCTAAACTCCTCTCCACCCCGACTTGCTCCTTTCCTCTCTATCTGCTTGGTTTTCCCGGTTTCTCCCATTCATCACCCTCTCCCTCACCCCCACCCTCACCATCTTCTCTTGCCTAATTCATGGCCGTGATCTTTCACCTCTTCCTCCAACCCGCTTCCATTTTTCTTCTCTGCTATCGATTATTCTTCTCCCTCATCCCCATCCCCATTCCTCACCTTGAGTAAAACTGCCTACTCTGCTGAATCGCTCATCCTCAGTGTTCCAGGTCTCTGTGGTGCTTTCACTTTCCTCTACCTGTTACACTCTACCAGCTTCTCCGTCTGCCTCTTCACCTCTCCATACTTCATCCCCCTCTTTTGTCTCCTCTCCTTCCTTTTCCCCCTCTCTTTGCTTTCGGCTACGCCGCTCTCCATAGCTCTTTATCTCCCTCCTGCTCTTGCGTTGACCGTGTGCGACTATCTGTGTTTGTGTGTGTGTGTACTTTATGCCGTTATGGTCTGTCAACCCCCACCGTTCATGCTCTGTTGCTCATTTCCCCTTTCCTCTCCTCCCCTCTCATCTCCTCCTCCTTCATCTTTTCTTTTTGCTGACAGAGCCGTCCACTGCAGCACTTCCTTCCCTCCCCGATAACGCAGCACCTTGTTGTTCCGTATTCATGAGGCTGCTGCCTATGCCATCGCTATTCGTGGACCATCCGCCGCTTATTCAGAAGCTATTCAAATTCATGCTATTTGACATGTGCTTGCCAGAAAATGGACGTGTGTATTTTGATGTTAATGCAGAGCGAATGTAAAGAGATCTGATGACACTGATGTTAGCCGGTGATGGATTCTAACCTTTGGGCCCATGACAGATTCGGTTCAGTGGGGGAAAAGGTGCAGGATTGCAAGCAAGAGCATGATTGACACAATGATCTGGATGATTCTGTCTGTCCTGCCACTATCTTTGAGTTCAGTTGGACACCTGTTTTCTGCCCATTTACCTGCCTGTACACCGATACAACACGAGCAATCTGCAGACAGATGTGCAGGTCCAGAATCTTAACTCTGGACAGATGCACAGAAAGAGCACACCCAAGCAGGGATGTGATCAGCAAAATGAAAATTAAAAAATTGACAAAAAATAGGACAAAATGCTTTGATCTACTGAACAATTCGTGATGTTGTACAGTTGAATTTCTGCGCTCTCAAAGTCACTGAAATATTAGATCAATGTATATGTTACACAGTAAAAGAGGCTCCACTGCAGCCTCCATAACTCCTGTCAAATGATTGGCTCCAGACTGCAGTAGCCATGTAGGATCCATCAAAGAAACGGCCTGTTATTGGAGTGCATTTCCTTTTTATTGCATTTATTTAAGAAGTTTGCCCCTGCTTTTATTTCCTGTCATTTTAATGGATCCTCGTGAGTAATGTTGGTCTTTAAAAGAAAAATAAGCTGAGTTTTATTGTTATAATTGTGTCCATTCCCACCTCTGCTGTAAAAATCTGGAAAATGCCAACGTGGCTGAGCTTGAAATTTGAAACTAGTCACAATTATGAGAGGACCAGGCGGAAAAATACACGGAATTTCCCTTAATAGCAGTGCAATAAAAACAAATACTCGTCATGAATCCTAAGAATAACCATATACGAGAGATTTTTTTATCTTTTCAAACTTACGTAAACATTTTTTGTTATTCAGTGTTCAGCATTTTCCAGCCCCAATGTCGAACGTAAGCTTTAGGCACTACGGACTTTAAAGGGGACTTATCATGCTTTTCCTCATTTTCTGTCATACATGTGATGTTACAGAGTTGAACGTTCATATTAAATGTGGCCAAAAGAGGGTGAAACAAGAGCTGCAAATGTTGCGAGGAATGAGACAGCACACACGTCACATTTTACCTCTATATACAGAGTTATTTCGGTGGCCAGCAGAGTGTGAAGCTCCTATTAGAATGCTATGGATTATGAGTAATTCTCCTAAGACAGTCTGCAGGTTGCAAACGCACAGCACAAGCACTTTCTGATTTCACTCACTGGGACTTACCAGACGTGTGTTTCAAAGTCCGTGAGGGTGGATGTTGGAGACAGGCTGAAGTTAAAAGCATCAGTGTCTGAAGGGTCACTGTTTGTCTCTCTGTTGCCTCTGTAGGTGTGGAGGTGGCAGTCTGGGGAGTGTAAAGTACTGCAGGGTCACAAAGAACAGGTCAGATGCTTCTGGCTTCTCTCCGACTCACCAGCCGACACAAGACTGCTGTCCTGGTCCTACGACGGCACGGTCAAGGTAGAGCTCACACTCACACACATAGACACTCACTCACAGTTAGAGAAGTATTTTACTGCTGGAAAGATGGCTAGGATGTCTGTGAGTAGAAAGATAAATGAGCCCGCTAGTGGGTGACATAATGCGAACACGTCCATTTGAAACAATGTGACCAGCTGATAACAAATGATCTCATGTTACTAGGGGTGTAAATCACTGTTTTCATCACAATACGATATATCGATTCTTTGGAAAATTATACGATATTTGCCGATATAACAAAGTCTGCCACGATACGATTTTGATTCGATGCGATGTAGGGGCCTGTGATCGATATGAGGCGATATTATCTGCCCATTTAACACAATCAATTACAGAAGAAGCTAGCTGACTTTTTGTCCTCATACATCACATGAAACGTTATTATTTTTCTTACTCACCGTTGGTTCGAGTCACTGCATCTCCTGACAGAACAGCTTGGTTGAATTTCAGACCACATGTACATTTTTTCAGCCCAACATTTTTGAAACAGAGCAGCTAATGTTGCTGTAGTGAGAAGTTAACAAAGTGAAATGCCCATTTTTTTGTGTTCTTTGTCTGTTGACCAGTATTTTCTCCAAAATCCAAAATATATCCACGCTGCTGATTTATTCCTGAGTTAATAATGTCATCCTCTTTGGCTTTCACTTGGCTGCTTGCCATCCGCCTGTTGCTGTCTGACGGTGACACAGACTTTCAAAATAAAAGTTTATCCTGAAGATGACGATATAGATTGATGTTTTCACTTTACGTTGATGACACTGGATCATTGGTCAGAACAACGGATCGTTACACCCCTGTGTATTACAGTTTGACAATAAGCTAGAAAGACATTTAAATAGACAACTCAGTAACAGACTTTTGGTTTATATTTGATCAGTTTTACCATTTGATCTGGGTTTTTTTTTTTGGCCTCCAGGAAAACAGTATGGCACCCACTTCCTGTTCACAAACTCACTATTACACCTAAACACAGCACTAATATATGTTTCTAAAAACATTGTAGGTGAAAAATAGGGAAAACAGTCACATAATCTTGATATATATATATATATATATATATATATATATGTATATATGATCAGCACTGCCTAGCTTTACCTTTTGATTGTATTTTGGTCAGAGTTAGAGAGAGACAGGGAGGGGCAGGTCTGTCTCTTAATCCGTGTCATACTCTTTGTGTCTGCATTAGTGGCACGCCATACAAAAATGCAGAAGTACAGCCTGTAGTTTGAGCAAGAGCCCGACAGTCAAACGTAAATTATGTCATCTGGTGAATTTTTGCCGGGAGTGAGGAGGTTAGATGGGGGAACTTTACCACAATTCATTTACACATACCGCTCACACTGTTTTGATACAAAGCTTGTTGAAAATAGGGAAAGTGCCCTTTAAACAGCAGCATGAAATCAAATATAATCTCTGTCTTTTTTCTGCTTACGACAAGATGTGGAACCTAGAAAGTGGAGAGAAGCTGCAGGACATCGAGGCTCATCGGGGAGCCATCCTGTCCTGTCATGTCTCGCCAGACGGATGCCTCTTCGCCACCACCTCTGCTGACAAGACTGCTAAGGTTCAACACTTACACACACACACACACACACACACACACACACAGGATGAGACATATCTGTTTGTGCTGCCAGTAACAACGTGACCTATTACACATCAGCGTCTTCCCCCAGACCGCCTTCCAAACTCATTACTTACAGCACATAAACGCGGACGCGTTGCTGCGGGTGATATCTGAGGCTAAGTTCTTTCCAGTAGGGAGGCGAGGGACCTTAGAGTTTAGCATGCAGCAGATGGCCCCCGAGTCAGCCTGTCCTCCTACACCCGTGTCCAGTGATCATTGAGTCTGACTGCAGCTCGCGGACCTGCCGACCCACCGGCCTGGCAGCCTGGCTGGCCTGCAACAGACCCAACTCCATGTCTGGATGCAGTTTTTGCCAGGTTACCAACACTGCTGCGCTTGACTTTGGCCTGACTTTGACTGACTCAGTGGGCCGGAGATGTGTTTTTTAACCTTTCCCCAAGCAGCTCTTAAATCATCACTTTTCCTACTCATCATCCACAGAAAAAGAGACTCCGGAGCACACGGTACACGCTGAACTGTGCAGAGACTGTACGCTCTTTGACACTGGCTGCCTCTCAATGTCATTTTCTTGGATCATAAAAACGGCTGTGGTTCGGCGTTAGATTTATACTTCTCTGTCCAGTATTCAACCACCGACTACAACTTCAGTTCCTGAATGTCCAGTAATAGAAACAACCCAGAGCCGCTCTCTCAGGAGTTTGTTAAAGCAGTTGACGTCGAGCCAGTGCCACCGAGTTTCACACGGGAATTTGGATTTGGTCAACACTTACTGTAGCGAACAGCCGCTGGGTCGCCGGCCAACCTGGCTTCTGTCAATGGATGGTAGTGAGGGAGAATGTGTGTTTTATGGATTTGGCAAAGATGATAATTGAGGTGTGTGTGTGCTGTGGGGCTGGTTAGCAGCCAGTCACATAGTCCTTGCTCTCCAGACCGAGTAGGGGCTTTGGTGGCTCGAAACACATACAAACATAAAGTCTCCAGTCTCCATGTATCGAGAGGTCAAACCAAAAGGCTCAGCCGTCTTTGTTGAGCGGCACAATAAGATGGAGCCTTCTCTTTTCTGCTCGTCCTTTTCCTCCAACTCTTTCTCTCTTTCCCCTCTTTCTCTCTTATTCTACTGACCTTCAGATGAATGGGACTTTGTGTGCAGACATAGTTAGCCGGCTGCCAAATGAAGTGTCTAATTATGAGCTGTGTTATTTCTATGCAGCGCAGGATGTGACCGGGGTATGGAAGAAACACAGAGAGGGGAAGAGGAGGAAGGGCGGAATAGAGAGAGAACAATGGATGAGAGGCAGAAAGTAAAGAGAGGGAAAGCCAAATAAAGTGAGAAAAATAAATACAGCAGCAGAGTGAGAGAGAGAGAGCGCTCATTAACGGTTTCATCATTCTGGTGCAGCGCTGTAACTACTCTGCATTTCACCCGATTATTTGTCCTCATAAGACCTATTAACAGATGATGACTCGTTTGAGCTACAGAAATAAAACATATTGTTATTACCTGCTATTCCCAAGTAAACACTGCTGTGTTTGTTTTTATAATTACATTTCATCTGCAGTGTATCACACTCTCACCTGTGTTACAGGAAAGGGTCGCTCAGTCTTCTTCTAAATGGGTAACTCTTGAATAAGTAAGGGTTATTTTAGTTATACCTCAATGTGCAAATGAAGTAAATGTATCCAGTACATGCACATTTTTTTCTATAATCAAGTCAGAATGTGAACATTTCTGTTTTTGATGGTCATTTTTAATATTTCATGCACAATTGAGGTACCGATTTCTGCTTTTCAGTCTTCTTAAAGTGTTACTTTCTGTTTGTAGTTGTGGCACTGTGAGTCCTGGCAGTGTGTTCACACACTGAGCGGCCACCAAGACTGTGTCCGAAGCTGCCGGTTCTCCTGGGACAGCCAACGCCTCGCAACAGGAGATGACAACGGAGAGATTCGGGTGCGTATCCAAAACATTGAGTTTTCTTAACTTTTGCACTTCATCCTATTGGTCGCTGATCTATGAATTCAGTCTCACCTTAATAGTGTAAATAGGTTCATTTTGTCTACTCAAATTAGATTCAGTGCAGAAAGTTTCTTTTTTTCAGACAATGAGTTTTTAAGGAGATGTAGTTTACCTTGACATGTTTCGACTGTCACTGCAGTCTTCTTCAGAAGCGTCATCTGACATGCGTCATGACGTGTCTTTATCAGCTGGTAGTATCCTGGAGGCGTGACCAGCCTGGCAAATCGGATTGCCAGGCTGGTCACGCCCCCTGCCACCCTGTGTTCTTTGGAGGAGAGAGTCCCAGGTGTCATCGGATTGGAAAGCAACAAGTTCAAACATTGGATCAAGGAGGCTATAGAGATCAGGAGGAGGGCCAGGAACACCATCAACCGGGATGAGGGGGCTTTCATGCCGTCACACACCTGGGACTCTCTCCTCCAAAGAACACTGGGCGGCGGAGGGCGTGACCAGCCTGGCAATCCGATTTGCCAGGCTGGTCACGCCTCCGGGATACTACCAGCTGATAAAGACACGTCATGACGCACACCAGATGACGCTTCTGAAGAAGACTGCAGTGACAGTCGAAACATGTCAAGGTAAACTACATCTCCTTAAAAACTCATTGTCTGAAAAAAGAAACTTTCTACACCGAAGTCTCACCTTTAGTTCAGGTCACCAGTGGAAAGGGATGTCTGTTTGTGGAGCACTGAGCATCCTATTGGATAAAGGAAACTTTGATTATACTGCACAAGTTGTGTGAGAGTTTGTAAGATTTTTTTTTTTTCATATAGTTTTGCTGTTGTTTAACGTGGCCACCGATCGTTTCAATTGATCAACCATTTTCTCCATTTGTGGATTCTTCATTCACTGGAGACAAAGTTTTCTTCACAAAATTAAGCATTACACAAGCAGAGTAATTCATAAACCAGTGATCACTTGGGGTTTGAAGTATTCCTTTAAACTTTGCATTTCATCCCACTGGTTGCTGATCTAGGAGTCCAGGCTCATTAGGCCTCTCAGCACAGTGCCTTAATGCAAAAAGGTGATGTGGAGAAAATGGGAAGTAGAACATTTTAAGAGTTATGAGGACGGTGAGGTAACTAAAGGAAGAGTAGAGGTGTTGATGGAGGTAATTTGGAAGAAAGTACAGAGGCAGCAGATTACAGGTGAGGACAGACTCCCCACTGAGCCTCCTGCATCAGGATACATCTGTGTGTCCACTCACACACACACACACCAAATGACTTAATGTTACTAGTATGAAACCATGTAATTTCCATCCAACATACAAAAAATGCAATTAGAGCAGTCAACATTTATTCCAGAGATCAGCCCATAATTACATCTCATCACTCATTTAGATAAAGTGCTTACTAATACATCATGATTGCTGCAGTGCACAGAGAAGGCGCGAGATGAAAGGAAGGAGGCAGGGCTCCTTCTCAGACGAGGGAGCGGGAGTTGGAGGAGGTGCAGGTTGTGTGAGGAAGTTGGGATGAAGAGAGCAGGAAGGGGAGGAGATGTCTGACAGTAGGAGGTGAAGGAGAGGACTCAGGCTGCCAAATTGGTTCCCCAAGGCTTTGGAATCTGCAGCGCTGCTTGTATACAAACACACACACACACACGCAAAGTAAATGAAAGTTTGAGTGTGTGAGGAGAAGAGAGGAAGACGTGGATTCAGCGCCGCTCAGCATGCAGTCAACAAGGGGTTAATGCCCTCTGGTGGCCTCTGAGCTGAACTACTCCATTATCCAGAAATGGACGAATCCATCAGATCCAATTACATAAACCACACTGAAATCTCACCCCTGTTTCTATGGAAACAAATGTGAGTCATTCCGCACAAAAGCATGCCAAGTGTTAAATATAGCTGTACGTGTGATGTGTCATTGTCAAATGGACATGGCATGTGAACAGTTGCATAACAGCTGCAATCGACATGATGTGCTGCACCATTGGTGATAGAATCCCTAACTGCCATTTCATTATTTATGCAGTGCATTATGGGTAGATTCACACTGTACACCACACCACAGATTCTCTTTATTGTCTGTTTTACTTAGCTTCAAGGTTCCTCTTGACCTTTAGAAACACCAGTTTGAGGAAAAAAGATAGTATGACCTTCATAAACAGATGGCGTTTGGTTGTTATCACCACGTGATAGAAGCATGGGGTTTTGGTCACATCTGATGCCAGAGACCATCCTTGAACAGAGACAGAGGTCAGATACCACCTGTTATCACATGATCAAAAAGCCATATTTAGGTCATGTGATAACAACTAATGGCAACTGTGCAAACTCCAGCTGCTGATACAGGCTGATATGAGCATGGAAGAGTCGACTTCATGATAGCAAGTCAACCATCGTTTTCTCGTCCCTAGGCAGGATCAAACTGTCTGGAAACATGCCTTATGTAGGATATTTTAATATATTTTTCACATTCAGATTCCAATGTCAGAATATTCGTAAAAATTAAAAGTTCATTGCTCTTTGACGTGGTGTACTTGCGTTATTGTACTATCGTATTATCATTACATCAGTGGCTAAACTGGTGGTAAAGTTAGTGTAATAATGTGGATAGAGCAGGCGTACCATATATGAAGGCAACATCTTTGCCACAGCGGCTGCAGGTTCAATTCCAGCTTGTGGCCTCTAGCTGCATTTAATTTTTTCCCTCTCTCTTCCTCTCACATCCAAATTATCCCATCCAATAAAGGCAAAAAGCCAAGAAAAAATCTTTAAAAAAATAAATAAATTAAAAAATTATCAGTCAATCAATCCATTGTTTATTCAGGGAAACTGACTGAGCATTAAGCTCTTTTACAGCAATGCCCTGAGTTCACATTCAGTGGGCTAGAAGGATACAAGTATATAGAAGCAATCACATTAACACAGTAATATGTAGATAATCATGTCTGTAAAATAACCAAAGCAAGAACACTGTTAGTATTGTTAGAATTAGATTAATATTGTTGAATCATAATTATTTCTGGGACATATATCGTCCAACAGAAGTTATCGTGTCAGGCCTGGTTGGTCATAATGTACGTTTGTCCATCACAGCTCTGGAACGTAAAGGACGGCTCATCGCTGAGGATTTATTCCCGTAATGGCAAAGACGGCATGGACTCACTCCACGGAGGCTGGGTGACCGACCTGCACTTCTCCCCAGACAACTCTCTCCTGGTCTCCACTGGCGGCTACATCAAGGTATGTCAACACAAACTATACATTCAGATTGACGTAAGCTGTGTCTCAATTCAGGGGCTGCAGCCTTCGAAGGCTGCATTTGAAGACTGATTGCGTCACATCAGCGCGACCAAGGCTGTCCCATTTCGAAGGCTCCTTCAAATGCGGCCTTCTTTCCTAGAATTTGGAGGATGGATGAACGGATGAATCCTTCGTGGCCCAGCCTATCCCAAGAAGTTAAAGAAAAGTTGTTAACTAGCTAAAGGTTAACTGTTACTAACATTACTATTAGCTAAAAGCACACGGCTTAAGCAATCTTAATTTAATAAGTTTACCTGAAAACAATCCTCCATCAGCCTGAATTATATCAAACAACGGTGTCTCCGGCAGTGAATCATCTCTTCAAGTATTAGATAAAAAAAAAATATATATATAATAGCAATCTCTGGGTCTATGATTTAGGGTGATCTAACTTACTAGCTTACTCTAGTAATCATCAAGTTCAGCTGGATGCTAGGTAACAGTCATGCAGCCAGGAAATCCTCCGCAGACCAGACCGTCCCATTTCGTAGACCGTTCAGTTTGGCTGATGCGTTCTTCAAAGGACGTGGCCGACGTCAACCGCGAAGGCTGCGTCCTTCAAAGGCTGCAGCCCCTGAACTGAGACACAGCTATGTTTCCTCAAACTAATGTAAATGTTCTGTTTCCTCACTACGAAAAAAACAAGTGGCGGCTTGTTGTTGTGGCATGCTTCGGCAGCTCTACACCAGTTCATGTGTAAAGTTCTGCACTCCATCTTTAAATAATGAAGTTTAAGTAGTGTGTTTACTCCCAATGTGGCAGCAAGCAATGACCTCTTTATATTTTACTGTATTGTTTCTGCTGCATCAGATTGTTAGCGATGCATTATCATTATGCAACAGACTGGTAGTTGGCACCTAAATGTACTGCGTGCCTCTTCCTGCCCACGCTTAAACTTGAGTGTATATACTGTACACATAAAGTCACCTCCACAAAGTTCTGCAGCATAATTCACCCTGCATGCCTCTTGCTGTTTTCAACAATATACCCTTGTTTGTGAGACGGAGAGTTGTTGATTGAGATGCGTTTGATGTGTCTCAGTGAAAAACAAAACAGAAATGCCCCCAACACGCTCCATTGTTACGTTAAGCAGAGGAGCACTGCAGTGGTGCAGGTTTACATAAAAACACTCAATACCTGAGGGAGTGATATCAGTGCCTCTTCGTGACGTGACCGGAATAGTGTGTGTGTGTGTGTGTGTATGTGTGTATGTGTGTGCAGCTCTTTGTTATTGCCTTTACTTTTACAGGAGATGGGGTCACAGAGCGGACAGTCTCAGCTGTGCTCTGATTGGCTATTTGCTGGGCAATGATGTAATCCTCAAGGGAGAGCGGTTCTGATCGATGAGGCTTTATATCTCAGATTACTCCTGATACTGTGTGTGGGGTTGTGCTGTGTGTGTGTGTGTGTGTGTGTGTGTGTGTGTGTGTGTGTGTGTGTGTGTGTGTGTGTGTGCATGCGCCTTTGTTTATACCTGCCTGTGTGGGTCGACAGAGATGTTACTGTTGAAGGCAGCGCTTCAGGCTTTTTATAGACAGATGGCCAAAAACACATCATAATCTCGTCTGCAGCCGATTCCTGTTGACAAGATCATAAAGCCTGGAAATGAGCTCAAAGTTAATGAGGGCTTCATGTGTTTCTTTTACTTAATACCTTCTCTTTTTATGTATTTGATAGCATTCAGATTCTGATTTTCAGAGAACTCTCAGCTGTCAGACACATAATTGTTTCTCAAGGCAGACATATCACAAAGCCCTCAGCGGGCTATTAAAAAGAAAAATGAGGTGCTTGAAAGAACACCAGACACAGTAGCATGACATCATATGTGAGGATAGAGACTTAAAGGTCTGAATTTACTGCATTTCTAACAAAAAAGGAGCTTAAGGTCGGACTTTAATCAATGTGAGGCTAACAAGCTGGCTGAGGATGTCGATAAAAGGGGCCACTTTTGGCTGGTTCCCAGATTTTTGATTGTCTACTAATAGGGTTGTCCGAAAATATTACAATAATAACTCATGTCCATCAATTTGTGTTTATCTGTTATATCTCGGCATAGATGAAGTCAGTATTTCTGCTGAGCTCAAGAGACGGTTCCACCTTTTGGGGAAATATTCTGTTTGTTCTCTTGTTGAGAGTGAGATTATCACTCTCATGTCTATACGCTAAATATAAAGCTCAAGTCAGCGGGCAGTTAGCATAGCTTACACTCTTAGAAATAAAGGTTCTAAAGGCCAAAACACACCGGCGGCGTCATATGACGGCGGCGTCATTGAAGTGAGTCAAGTGCCGCCTCCAACACACACAATAATCGTCACGCTGTGGGGCGTCAACCAGATTTCTATTGCACACTCCAGTCCGCTAGACTGGGAAGTACAAAATAGCGCTTTGTCAAGGGCGGCGACGCTGGAAAAATAGGACAATAGAGTAAAGTGCTGCGGCACGGCACTTCGACGCGCGTCAAGCTGCCGCCGGTGTGGGTTTGTAAATAGAAAATAATGGGGGCGGCTGTTTTGACGCGCGTTGTACGCCGCCGGTGTGTTTTGGCCTTAACTAGAAACACAGGAGAATCCTTTTTGGCCCTTTTCAAATAGGTTCTACCGGGAGCTAAAGAAATCCATTGTTTTCTCTTAATAAAGCTTCCACCTGGAACCCTTATAGAGACCATTGATAAATCGAGACGGCCCACTTTAGATTCTAAGTGCTATATCGTAGGCAACTGGACTTGCTTGAGCTACTTGAAGACGTTTCACCTCTCATCCAAGAAGCTTCCTCAGGTCTTTTGTTTTTTTAAGATTATCTTTTTGGCTTTGCCTTTATTGGACAGGACAGGTTAAGGGTGAAAGAGGGAAAGAGAGGGGATGACATGCCGCAAAGGATCATGGGCTGGAATTGAACCCGCCGCCACTGTGGCAAGGACATAGCTTTTATACATGGGACACCCGCTCTACCCACCAAGCTACTGGGCGCCCCAAGGCTCTGCCATTCTGAACTGAATGTAAGAAGCCTCTTGGATGAGCGCTGAAACGTCTTCAGGAAACTCAAGAAAGTCCAGTTGCCTACGATACCGCACTTAAGATTACCATGACCAAGATGACTAAGAATCTTCACCCACTTTAGATTAATTTCCTGTATCTGTGTCATGTGGGTTTTGCCACTGTTCTGCCCCTTTGGGAGACCAGCGTAGCTTCTGAGTCTATTCATTCCAGTGGGAGAGGTGAACATGAGCACAGATTATGGCCGCTTCTTTCACCCAGTAGTCACTGAAGTAAATATTGGACCCATTTTTTACAAGCCCCAAGCCTTCTAAACATTCCGACACTGAAATGGCATTTCATCAGACAAACAAATCAGGAAAAACTAACTTTGTTCGGGACATGTCTCTATTTTGGCAACGCACTCTTGCAAGATTTGGACACAACTAGACGCCTCTGTGCTGGTCCAAACGTCTTTAAATCTGTGTATCTGTACGTCCCTCCATCTAATTCTTGTGAACGTGATATCTCAAGAATGCCTCTAGGGAATTTGGCACAACTGTCAACTTGGACTCAGCAATGAACTGATTAGATTTTGGTGGTCAAGGGTCAGTGGTCAATGGTCAAGGTCACTGTGACCTTGCATCTATCTTATTCTCATGAATTTCTTTACATATGGCACAAATATGTACTTGGATTCAAGGATAAACTGATTAGATTTTGGTGGTCAAAGGTCAAGGTCAGTGTGACCTTGAATCAGTCTCATTGTTGTGAACATGATATCTCGGGGTGTCGGTAGCGCAGTGGATAGTGCTGGCGCCCCATGTAAAATGGCGATGCCTTGCCGCAGTGATCACAGGTTTGACTCCGGCTTGCAACCATTTGCTGCATGTCAGCCCCCGCTCTCTCTCTCCCCCATTTCACTCTATCCTGTACATTAAAGGCAAAAAGCCCGAAAAAATAATCTTTAAAAAAAAGGATATCTCAAAAACACTTTATGGGAATTTCTTCAAATTTGGCCCACACGTTAACTTGGACTGAAGAATAGACTAGAATTTTGACTTGGAATTTGGTGGTTGAAGGTCAAAGGTCAAGGTCAGTGTGACCTCTCAAAACATGTTTTTGGTCATAACACCAGAATTCATGCACTTATTATGACAAAATGTTGCACAAATGTCTAATGGGATATAATGATGAAGTGATGACAGTTTATATACAAAAGGTCCAAGGTCAGCTTCACAGTGACATCATAATACTCTGCATAAAACACGTTTCTGGCCATGACTCCACGTCATATCTCAGGAACAGAAGGGGAGACATTTGGTCAGTTACTGATTTGGTGACGCTAATTTTGAAATTGCGCAGATTGTATAGATCAGATGTATAGATAATTCTATTTTTTTTTAATAGATTTGTGCCTGTTTTACCCTCCAAACTTAAACCAAACTGGACACCAAACTATTACAGCCGTTAATGTCCACTAATATACCCATTAGTTTGTTTATTCGTAAACTTCACGGGCAGGGCTGCTCTGCATGATGGGCTAATGTAGCACTCATCAGCTCCATTACATCATCATGACAGTTATAATTATTCTGGGAATGGGCTAACGAATCACTCCATTACTCTATTTCACAGACTTTTTTCTGCTCCCTCTCTCTCGTCTTCAGCAAGATGTGTTGACTTGATGGATCAACATGTTGGATGTGAGGAGCAGTGATGGATTATTATGCCTGTCTTAAAGGGTGAACTCCCCTGAGTTGCAGGCTTTGATTGATTAATTGTACTGTGTGTCGGCCGGACAGCGATGAGAGGCCATCCTGTCTGTCACTGTAATTACCATGACACTGTGTGTATCTCCTATGACAGATAATATAGCCCGCAGAGTGAGGAATCATGATGTTAATCTAACTGTCTATCTGTTTTAATGATTATTGCCAATGCGAGTCCCCAAGCTCGCCTGTTTTT